ATGGATCACAATGAATTTTGTATTGATGGATTCCTCTCACTCTCTACTATCCAAATATAAAGATATTATTGTGCATAAACCACCCAAACCCCCATATTCTTGGCCCTGATAGCAGGATAGGCCATGAAAGGTACCAGGGAAATTATAAATAACGATACACAGAATCCATTACCTTACTGTCTAATGCAAGGGACTGTGCCCCCTGCGACCTCTCCAAAGGGGGCTGCTCCCCTCCACCCCGCCTAGGAAAACAAAGAATCCAACGTATTCATTGTAGAAAAGAGCATCAGACAGACTCGCCATTGGGCGCTCTCTCCTGTCGTGAATATATGGAAGATCTTTGTTTTCCATTGTGGGGGTTGGTGGGCAGCAGCTCCCATAAGGGCGGGAGTCGCAAGGGGCATAGCCCTCTGCATTAGACAACATAGAGACTGATTCTTTGTATATTATTAATATTTTACCCTGCAATATCCCTGGAACCTTTCATGCCCATGCCTGTTCACGTCACTAATAGGGGGGGGTTTCCACACAATAATTTCTATATATTTTAATACAGAGTGAGAGGAATTCTCCGATACGAAAATCATTGTGATCCATTTGGCAGAACTATTCTGAAACATTACCCAAATTTATAGGAATGAATGTGTGGAAGCCCCCTATGCCATCACATTCTTGGGCCCAATAGCAGGGGAAGGCATGAATAGTACCAGGGAAATTGCGGGATGTAATATGAATGATATACACAGAATCAGTTACCTTATTGCAACTCTCCATGGGGGGTTACTGCCCCCCAACCCCCACCCAGGAAATCAAAGTATCTTCCATGTGTTCATTGCAGGAGATAGTGTTGGACAGACTGGCCATCATTCGCTCCCACATGTCAGTTGTACACTCTCCCCTTTCATGAATTCATAGATGATTCATTGTGTTCCATTGCGGGGTTGGGGGGCAGCAGCTGTGTCCTCCCTCTGCATTAAACAATATAGGGACTGATTCTGTGGCATATATATTTGGATAGTAGAGATTGAAAGGAATCCACCCATGTACTGCATTCACAGTACAGATGTATTCGCATGTGTACTGTAAATTTAAAATCTAAGAAATTTTCAAGTTCTTGTTGAAATATGATGTAATGTTATGGATGGCAAAACACTACTGTGTTTTTACAATACTAAGAATAATCTTGAAGAAGATTTTTTAAGAAAAGAAAATTTTATTGGAAATGAGGCAGTTATTGCTTTAAGGGGACCGTCCCTGAAAATGGCCACCTTTCCCTACTCTATACATCATAAAAAAATATCGGTTAGAGATAACTGATTGATTCTTTTTGCATGCTATAGAGTAAAGAATTGCGCTCCGTTATATATATAAATTTTAACTTTGCCCCCCCATTGGGGGGCACCCCCCAAAAAGTCGAAAAAAATCGCTGTTTTTTTGGTATGTCTTCGGTACATCCCAACTATCAGAGCGCTTTACAGAATATTCCCCCAAAAATACTAGTGTTAGATCAACTCTAGCCTATAGCCATGTAAAAGGCCGAATTTTGAATTTCCTTTTTTTTTTTTTTGGCGGGGGACAGCTTGGCATAAAAACTACTTTTTATTTATTTTTCAGCATTAAAATATTATTATTTTTTGATTAACACAAAAATTCAAAAATCGGCCTTTTACATGGCCTTGGGACGCCGAGGCTCTAGTGAAAGCAACAAACTGCATTTGGATCGCATGAAAATTACGTGAGTTGGGATGTACCGAAGATTCATAAAAAAATGATGGAGCTACGGCGTTTTGTATTTGTCCCCTTGCCAAAGTTCGTTATCTCTGTTATTTTTTTCTGAATCTAATGATATTATATATCAAAAAAATGCTTATTTAGTTTACTTTGCAATGCAATGATTACCAAGTCAATAGGAATTTTCATGTTCAATAGGGACGCTATTCTGTAAAGGTATGTAATTTTTTTTTTTTTTTTCGTTCATAAAAGTTGAAATTTTCGTGTGAAAAGCTTAATAAATGCATTTTACCATAGAGACAACTAATCTAAACCAGATAAAAACCTTTTTTTTTTATTTTTTATTTTTTCTTATTTTCCATTTTATTTTTATTATTTTTTTTTTATTTTGAAGAAATGGGGAACTGTGGATGGCAACATTAGTACAAAATCATTCTAATTATAAATTCCTGGCATGAATACAACATGGTGGTTCAATTTTGAGAATTTCAAAAGCATATGAATTTTGTACATTGAATTCGAGAACTTACGAAAGTCGTTGAATATTTCCCATGCCTCACACGGGGGGGGGGGGGGGGGGGGGGGGGGCACTGGGTGTTTATAATTTTCGAGGAGGATCATATGTACGTGAAGGCACGCACATAAAGTTAAAAAGATTAATCATCATAATTTAGTAGGCCTACATTGACTTTCATATCTAAATAATAAAATATATTAGTTATCCCTCTCATACCATTTTCTTTGATAATTGTCAATATTATAAGATTGCAAAGGAGAACAAGTGTATAGTTTATGATTAGCATTTTGCACCCATTATCTTTACTAAGAAGTGCATAAAATCATGCAGACGCCTAGGTGTTGTGGGATATTTGCCAATTTATGGTGCCTAAGACTTACAGTAACGTCTAAACATATTCATTTTTATCGGGAACGCACGAAACGGATGCGATAGCTTTTTGAACGCCAGACGAAGACTATGCATACATCCGAGCTCAAAATTCCATATAGTTTTTATTTCAGAGCAGGTATTACTGAGTACTATCATCTTCAACATGAAATAATCTGCTTCGCTTATACATCCGAAGTTTAAAAATCTGACATTTAGGTAACATTCGTATTGAATTGGGCTTTACAACGGTAACTACCAATTTCAAATCAATTCAAATTGCCCCCTGCTGTGATGTACCGACTGTTGAGCAAAATGTAACGGAAATATTTCAATCCTTCCTTATAAGGCTATTTTTAAACATTAGTGCTTCGTATGTGATATACGTATATATTACCACGTAAACTAAAACATATTACCAGGGAGTCTCGATCAAAGCATATTTCGTGTGTAAAAGGACATAAAACATACATTTTTTAAAAATATATTTCACAAAATATTTCGTCATAAATCACGGTGATATAATTTTTTCCTGATATTGGTATAAAAGTGTTCCTTGAACATTCACGAACTCATATCTATGCGCAATGTCATAATTAAATGCCTTATGCACGATTGCCGCAAGCAAGAGTCCACATAGGTGTACCTGGGCGCTCATTAGCGACGTACCTCTCCGGATGCTGAGGGACTCGCACGCCGGCTGCAAGACAACGAGCCATAGCAGGTGGTTAATACTCGTTTGGTAGTTTCCTCATCCATGTACCTATACTATACGCTAACTATCTTAATTTAACCCCCCCCCCCCCCTCTCTCAGGGACGGTCCCCTTAACAGTAGACAAAGCTATGACTTATTTTCCGCATCTAGGGAACTGTTTTCCATGCATTTATGTCATTTCAGATGCCTTATATGTGTTATGTCATTTAAATATTCATGATATGCAGAATAGGTTCTACCTATTGAAAAGAATTCAAATTCATGAAGTAGTAATTCATGGACACTACCAGTAAGAGAATTTTTGATTGTCAAACTTTAAGAGGTGGGAGAGGTAGATCTCAGAAATATGAATAGAGAACAGGAATAATGCATTCTAATTTCATACATTTTGGAGACTTAAAAGATAGACCATAAGTAGGGTAAAGTTTGCCTCTATTATATCATTTTATGTTTATTCTGTCACAATTCAGTATCTTGAATTTCCCCTATTTTCATTAGGTCTGAATCATGAATTACCACAAAAAGTGAAAATTAGAAAATAAATAAGATAAAAAAAGTATGCCCCTCAATAGGCCTAAAAATATAGATATAATATATGTGAATTAGACTTACTACCATGCTACCACCTTTAATCTAACAATCACAGCAACAAGTAATGGCTCAATCCCTAGTTCACAATCTCTTTTAGGTTTATAATAACATCTGGGATCAATTTCACATTATATCTTGTAATTATAGTGAAGACCAGTAACTTCAAGAAGTCTATATATATATATATATATATATATATAATATATATATATATATATATATATATATATATATATATATATATATATACATATGTATATATATACATATATATACATATATATATTATATATATATATATACATATATATATATATATATATATATATATATATATATATATATATATATATATATATGTATTATATATATATATATATATATATACATATATATAATATTATATATATACTATACATATATATATATATAATATATATTATATATATATATATATACATATATATATATATATATACATATATATATATATATATATATATATATATAATATATATAATATATACATAATATATATATATATATATATATATATATATATATATATATATATTTATATTATACATATTTATACATATTTATACATATTTATACATATATATAATAATATATATATATATTATACATATAAATATATATATCTATATATATATATATATATATATATATATATATATTATATATATATATATATATATATATATATATATATATATATATATATATATATATATATATATATATATATATATATATATATATATATATATATATGTATATATATATATATATATATATATATTATAATATATATATATATATATAATATATGTATATATATATAATATATATATATATTATATATATATATATTATATATATAATATATATTATAATATATTATATATATATATATATATATATATATATATATATATATATATATATATATATATATATATATATATATATATATATATATATATATATATATATATATATATTATATATATATATATATATATATATATATTATATATATATATATATATATATATATATATATATATATATATATTATATATATATATATATATATATTATATATATATATATATATATATATATATATATATATATATATATATATATATATACATATATATATATATATATATATATATATATATATATATATATATTATATATATTATATATTTATATATGTTGCTCAAGATGAAATGGGTTATTCATTAGGATGAAGGAAGAGTGTCCACTCTTACATTATGTCCATCCATGAATTTTTTGCGTATTCTGCAAATTTGAAATAAAGACTTACGGCTGGTTTGTTAAAAGTGTGCAAGGCCCAACCCAATGAATATTCATCATATGGACTTACATATACACAGAAATAAATGCATATCTATCAGTCTTGTCATATATGAAAGCTGGATATATAGATTATGTATATCTATGAGGTAGATAGACATATGTATTTATTTCTGAGCATATGCATGTCTATTTGTGAATATTAATTGGGTCAGGCCTCGCACAATTTTAGCAAACTGGCCGATCGAATATTGGTAGGAATTAAGTCATTCTAAACTATATTTCATATCAAGTTATGTTGTACTCTATACATCTATTACAAAAGAACCCTTTCCACGATGACTCGGCAGGCATAAAGGCATGGAGATTACAATACTTATGTTTATACTTCTCAATTGATAGTTGCTATGATTATGAATATGCCATAATAATGTGATATTAAGCCTTGGTATAATTGTTTCATGATATCACTTTAGCATTACCCTTCACCATTTTGTTTGTAACAGTACATGGTCATGAATATCCAGTTTCTTGGTTCTGGAAACTGTATAATCTATAAAAGCATACCTAAAATGTACTATACCAATAGTAATGCATTCATATTAACATCCTTCTGAATTATATTCCCCAGGCATTTCAAAACTTTTTTTCTCTCCTTTATTGCTGATACTGAAAAAAAATATGATTGATAGGGTTGTATTACATTGATAGTGATAACTGCATTTTAAATCCAGATAATGTCTTTTTTTGACTGCTGGTGTAAGCAGATTATTTCTTTTTTGAATACTGGTTTAAACAGAAAAGGGAACCAAACTTCATTAGGTTGATATGATATGGGCTGTTGTTTGGACATATTATATTGCAGCTAAAGAATTACGAGCTGGGATAACTTTATAAGCATATTGAACAGGTAAAAGTAAAGGAGTGCTTTAGGCCAGATTATCATTGTGGTTTCTTGATTTTTTATTCTCTTGTAGATTATGCTTAACCTCTAAATAAGAATTTCATTGACAGTAATTAATAACATCAATATCTTTAGAAAAAATATGAATTGGAATTAGTAAGTTTCCGTAAGATTTGACAATAATGAGAATGTTTTTAAAGTATGGTTGGTATTGGTGTAATTCTCCTTTTCTCTTTATTTCTTATGCTCCCTCAGTTTTTACTCTCTTTCCTCTTATCATATTGCTCACCTCACAAGACAATAAATTGCTGTGGATCTTAATTTCAGAACTTGGGCCAGAATTAAACCTAATCTTGGTCATAATGAAGAAATAGAAAAAACACTAACATGAAGAAGAAGAGGGGAACCAAGAAAATCAAGAAAGAGGTGGTTGAAAAGGAGGAGGAAAGCAAAGTGATCAAAGAGCAGACAGAAGCATTATCCACTGTATCCACCAGCGAAGGCTCACACAACACAACAGTAGACTTGAGCAATATCTTATCCAGCTCCCTTTCATCAGAATCGAGTGAGGAAAACTTCCCTCTTGACCCAATGGACATTCGGGAAATCAGTGCCAAGATTTCAGCATCTGAATTTATTTCATCGAGGAGGAAGGGAGAAATCTGGGATGAGATTTGCTCTGAGGCTGCAAGTAGTAAAAATAGCTGATCGTGTTGCAACTTTTTTTTTCTTTTTCCTCTTATGATGTAAATTTTTAATTGTACAGTGGATAAGTACATTTAATGTTTTTAGTCTTTTGAGTAAATATTTGACATGGAGTGCTTTTGGACTTGTTGATACCAAAGAATAAGACTGAGTGATTGTTATAAGGAATTCCAAGATGATCAGTTTTATGCCATGAACTCCATTGTAAGGGCTTGGAAGGTGCCTCCTTTTGAAGGACTTAATTTGGCAGTGAGAGACCATTTCCAAGAGTGGAAGCCCTTCCCAATTTTTGACCATAGCCAGTCCTTGAACCACTATGCTGTGGGACCCTTCTGGTCCACACTTTATTACCATAGTACTACAACAGCCTTTGTAACACATCATCAGTTTTGAGCTACTGAAGCTTTGGAGGCCGATAGCAGTGCTAAAAATATTTATAAAATTTAAGGTAAGGATTTTTGTCCTGTTTAGTATAATTTTCTTGCTTTCTGTAATTTTTTTTGCCTATATTTTAATGTAAATAGATTCTTGACTAATTCAAGTTTAGGAACTATTATCATTTTCAAAATCCTTAGATTTGTGAAGATATTGCTATTCATTTCACCATTACCTTCCCTTACAGCTTTCTGTTATTTCTTTTTTGAATATTTTTATCAGAGCCAAACGAATGCAAGATGACAGACAGAGTGGTGGTACTCCTAGACATGGACTGCTTCTATGTGCAAGTGGAGGAAAGGGACAACCCTCACATAAAAGGGGTCCCAGCTGCTGTGGTACAGTACAACTCTTGGAAGGGTGGCGGGTAAGTTTTCCAATAAGGGCTCTCCTAATCTGTGGATGGTGTGGTCTCTTTGTGGTAAACTGTGAATGTTTAGGGTAGATTATGGGTTTATGTTTGAGTAGATGACAATAGGAGTAGATTTATTGCAAAAACAACATGTACATAAAAAACCTGTTTTTAGTAATTATGAGTGACTCAAACTCAGCATTTTAGCATATAGTATCTTTTTATATAAGGGTGTTCATATATTGTTTGTTATTTCATCAAATGTTGCCCATGTTTAAGAAAAAAAAATCTAGACTACTGTAAATTTATTTCATGCAACATGATGTGCTCAAACACAGATAAATTTGGTTATATGTATTATAGATCACATTTTCAGTGAGAAATCTATTTCATTACTATAAGCAACATTTCTACAGGACAGAATATATCATGTAAAATCAAGTACTCTTGATGCTAATATTTGTTTGATTTGTCCAGAATTATTGCTGTCAACTACGAAGCACGAGCCTTTGGTGTCAAGAGAGGAATGCGGGGAGATGAAGCTCGTGGCAAGTGCCCTGACATCCAGCTGGTTCAGGTGCCTGTAAATCGTGGCAAGGCTGACCTCACCAAGTAAGTGTCGATGAAGGATACTCAGAGCTTTACCACAAAGTATGATGCATGAAAGCATTATGGATAGTAAGGAAGGAATATGAGAAGTAAAGCATTTGTTAAGTAAAGCATGGTGAAAGGAATGTTTTGTTTTTCCTGAATCAGAATTTTTTGTCTAGCAGATACTGGTAACAAATATTTATCATCTACTAGATATAGCCTATAACATTATCATCACAAATTACATATAAAGGTATGACTTATAAGCATAGACAACCTAGGAAATTGTTGCTTTAGACTGAATTGTATGCATAGATGACTTGCTGATAAGGTGACAGTGACTGTAAACACTATATGCAATACTTCAATCATTTCTGGCATTTGTCATACTTCATGTCCTTGTAAGAACAATGTTGCTGTTAAAAGTTTGTGTCACCACAGACCATAGCTAAACTCTCCCATGACAACATTTTCATGTCACCTGCCATTTAGCAGGGGGCAGGCATAATTCGCCCTAAGTAGTTCAGATAAAAAGCCATCAGTGTGTTCTTAGAGCCAGCATTTTCTTCTTTCTTTCTTTGTCTCTTTGATTTTTTTTTTCCTAATAACTATGCATGGCTAATTTGCAGATAAAAGGTAAGAATTTAGATTTTTTTCTTTTGAGTATTTAACCCACTAGCGACAGTACATGTTCAAGCCGAAAAGGATATTTCCCGCGCAGCTTCAAAATCGGCTTGGTACCTGAATCCGGGAACCTGTCAGAGTGCAAACTCTGATCTAGTGTCGCACCAGCGGGACGCCCGGTAATATTTACTTTTCTGGGTGTCTCATATGTGTGACACCCGTCATAAGTGGGTTAAGTGAATATTTTGTCATTTTCTTTTTCTTTTTTTCAGGTATCGTGATGCTGGTAAAGAGGTTATAAAAGTACTGTGCGAGTTCAGTGACTGTGTTGAGAGAGCCAGCATAGATGAAGCCTATATAGAATTAACACAAACAGTAGAAGATAGGATCAAGAAGAAGAATGGCACCCACATTGCTACTGATATGCTGAAGTCAAGCTGGGTTGTTGGATATGATAAGACTGAGGATGGGGACCAACAAGGTATGTTGTAATTAGTGCTTGTTTTTTCAACTACAAGATGACTAACTTTGATTCTTGCAAATATGTCTATCCAAGGTTCAATGATAATGAAGAGAAAGATATTGAGAGGAGGGAGAGTAATAAGATTAATGGCAGGTTGTTTCTCCAGGAGTCAGAGAGAAGGGTGTTCATGAATGGTTAAACAGTGTTTTTGAAAATGGAGAGGATGCAGCTTTGCCTCTTGATTCCAACCATCCTCACTGGGATAATGTAAGATTAGCTTATGCAGCACTTATTTGTGAAGAGATGCGAGCAGCTGTCTTGGCGCAGACAGGGTTCAAATGTTCAGCAGGGATTACTCACAATAAGGTTTGTTGATACTTTTTGTTTATGTTTTGTCTAATCTGAGTGCAATTGCATGTCAGCTTATATTGAGGTGTTGGTATGTGATTAGAGTGAAATAGAAAGATATTTAAGTAATCTGATCATTATATAATGCATTTTTATATATGTTTTGAATATCCTCTCTGAAAAATACTCAAACACACTCACAAGTCTTCTTGTCCTATAGCTACTGTTACCATTACACTATTCATCACTAGTAAAAACTAAATCTGAAAAGATGCCTATCACATAACGGGGCAGTGGAGATTATTATATTTAGCTCAGAGGCCACAGAATGAAAAAGTTTGGGTTCCACTGGGCTGAATGTGTGGCTGAATGGTATTGTGGCTTAGCTATTTTCCCTTTCAATGTTACCTAGACTGGTCATATCCTTATCAAAGAGACAGCCATATTCTCAATCGCTGCAAATCCCTCTGCGTTCAGAATTTGCGAAGGCGATTGCATTGTTGTACCCACAGTCGAGGCAATGCAACGGAGGTCAGTGCTGATTGGCTCTCAAACCTGACTTTGCGACGGTCAGGTTCTGAGAGCCAATTAGCGCTGATCTCCGTCGCATTGCCTAGGCTGTGGGTACAACAATGCAATCGCCTTTGCAAACTCCCGTCGCAGAGGGCTTTGCACTGATTGTGAATTTAAGTGAGAGTTCTAATGTTATAACCAAATATCAGCATGTGAGATATTAAAATGAATTGAACTGAAAAAGGATGGATTAACCCATTAGTTCTAGTGGCAAAAATACATGCCATGTCTGCTGTATTTTTAGTTTGATAATTGTATTTACACAGAAGGCACCACATTTTCCTAGTCACCAAGGAGTTGATTATTTGTCTCATCTCATCTCTTTCCAATTTTACTTGTTTTGGGGCAGTATTTGTTTTAATTATTTTATTATTTCTGTTGTTACTAGTATTATGACATTATTATAATCAGTATGTCACTGATAATAATAACAGTATTGATATTAAAGAACATAAGAATGAAAACAACATTTTCCCACAAATTCAAAGAATGAAATTACTAGGGCCTACTAATTGACTCCTTGGCAACACTTGTGGAGCCACTCACAAAAAAAACAACTACATTGAACATTGCATAAACCTGTGGCTAGTGGGTTAAAGTTGGTCATCCAGTATACAATTATTCATTACCAAACTTATTAATGGTCTAAACCTTTTTATGGTAATTAAGAGGATTTTTGCTGAATATTGAACAATGAAAGTAATTGAATGAGTACTGACAGTAGGAAAGATATTTCTCAACACTGGGTAAATGTAGGTAGCTATATGCCACTATTTTTATGCTGTCAGATTTAAAAAAAAAAAATTTATAAGGAAATCCCATATATTATGTTAATTATGCAGTAAGTAAGCTAAACCCATTAACGCTGGTATATTTTGAAGTTGAAAATAAAAGATTCTGGGCAGCTACAAAATTGGTGCATGGGGCTGGCCCAGACTCTGCCTGTACACTGGCCATGGCCCGCTGCTGCGTCGGAGCGTGAGCCCCGATACAGTATCACACTGGCGGAACGCCCGGCAATGTTTACTTTTTCGTGTGACTTATATGTTGGACACCCTTTGTTAGTTGGTTAAGATCTTGCTCTTTATGTTTTATTTATCTAGAATAACAAGATTATGATTGTATAGTAATGATTATAATGGATTAAGACTACAGAACTAGTATTTTGTTAAGTCTATAGTGCTCAAACTTGATATATGCAATATAGAGCAGCACAGAAACTGTAAGAAATCAGAATAAGGATAATTAGTCAAACAGCATAATAAGTACTGAATTCTTGTTTATAAAACTATAATACTTCATATCTAGTATCATTTTCTTTTCATTTTCTTTAGGTTTGTTGGGTAGATCTTTGTGATCTCTAACACCCAGTAAAAGATAGGACAAGTTGTCAGTACAAAGGATGTATACATGAAGGAAATTTAGTTCCACTTTTTCAATGTTATAAGCTACCAGTAATATAAGGTCTCTATGAATCCTCAGAATATCACTGAATTACACTTGGTGCTTTTCTGGACTTTGAGCAATTACTAATTGTGACAAGGTATTTCAAGGAAAAAAGTGCTCATTTATTTGATATGTTAATATAGGTGGTGAAACATCTTACTAAAACAATTATTTCCATTAGCCAAAGCTTGAATTATAGATAAATGAAAGAATGAAGATATAAGTAAATAAGGAAAATAGAAAATAAATAATTGTATTAAATCTAAAATTCTTAACACAAGATCTTGAGGATTCCAGAAGTTAACCCACCAATGCCGGTATATTTTGAAGCCGAAAATAGAAGTTTCCGGGCGGCTACAAAATGGGCGCGCCGGGCTGGCCCGGACTCTGCCCGCATGCCAGCTGTAGCCTGCTGCTGAGTCGGAGCGCAAGCCCTGATACAGCAAAGGCAATTCCCCCCCCTAAAAACAAGTCCTCCCTTTACCATATACTTTCTGGTTATGAATTTCTTAGAACTCTCAGTAGTACAGGATGACCATTCAGACTGCACCTGGCCAGTGTTTGCAAGAGACCGGTGTCAACAATATTATACCATGTGCAATCCATTCTTAGGTATCTGAACTCATACTGTATTCAGATAATCAAACCTACTATAAACAGACCAACTTTAGAAAGAACCTGATTATCAAACTAATGAAGTCTAAAGAGTGATCAAGTGATCACTCAGTGATAACAAAGGATTTATTTGTGTATATTTTTATCATGCAAACCATTTTTATTATTCAAATAAATATTAACCCAATAGATTTGGGTTTCTTGTTTGCAAGCATGTATGCCTAAATCTTGGCATTAAGTTTCTTTTATTGTCAACTTTCATGGATGTGTGGCTTGTAGGCCAGGTCCACACAAATATTTGCTAATTTGCCTTTTTCTTAATTGTATATTGCTCAGTTATGCTACATCAAAATGATGATAAACTCCTTATTGAGCAGATACCATGTTATTGCCCCAGTTAGTTGACACTATAATTTTTTTTCTTTATGGTAAGACATCCATGTTACCCAGATCCAAAATGCTGATTTTGAAAGCATCTGTGATAATAATTCCTAATTATTTATTATTCATGTAATTTTAGATGCTTAGCAAATTGGCGTGTGGTCTCCACAAGCCAAACCAGCAGACTGTCCTACCACAGGATGAAGTTAGCCAGCTGTGGGATGGTTTGCCTGTAGGAAAAGTACGTCACCTAGGAGGAAAGCTTGGAGACTCACTCACTGAGGAGATGGGCTGCAACACAATGGGTGACCTGGCAAAATTGTCTCTCCAGCAACTAATTGGCAGATATGATAATAAAACGGCGTAAGAAGGATAACATTGTGTTTCATAGAATTATATCTTTGTGTGACAAAGTAGTTGTGTATGTATGTGTGTATCTGTGAGAGAGTGAAAGAGAAAGAGACCATGTTCCAAGGATAGTAATAGTAGTAAGAGTCTATAAGTAATTGATAAAGTGGTGCACCTCATATTTGGCAGAAGATTCAGATTCATACTTTTGAATGAATTATAGGTTGTATTCAAATTTCTTTCACTCAACAGTTTTTGAATGAATTGATAGACATATCTTATGAAGGCTCTTTGAAATTACACATAAAATTATTATTTGTTGACTTCCATTCATTAGTAAATAGACTTTGGAAAATATTTATTTCTTTATTAAAAATATATATTCATCTTAAGATATATATTTTTTAGCATTTCAGTAATGTTTATGTATATTTTCTTGTTTTTTATGTATTACAAGGAAAGTATAGAAAATTTTGGAGTTAGTTCCCCATAAGGGAACCCAAAACATGAACATTAAAATTTGAGATGTTAATAAATAGTGCATAAAAGAAGCAAATCTGTAAGAATCAATCCTTAAAAGCAGGAATGGGAAATATAGAGGCAAAGCAGCTGTCATTAAACTTATTGTTATGCAGATAGTTTATTGTTGATATATACCACTGATAACATAGGATAAGTATGTCATTCCTTATTAGAGTACACATTCAGCGCCAAAGATAATAAGTTTTGAAGAAAAATTGCTGTTCCTGATAAGTCCTTAGCTTTTTGTCACAAAAAAATCTGCCATTCATACTTCTTTGGGTGTGTAATTGGATTTTTGGCTGGTGCCTGAAAACTTGGTACTCCCAAAAAGAAGTTATCCACCACATTTTATACTACCTTTGATAATTTCCTACATGATTTACATAGAGAACTGTCTAAAAGAGGCTTCAGTTTATTGCTAGTTAAAAAGAATGGAGATATTACATTTACAATTATTTTTCTTACACTGATATGTACAATTCTTATATATCACTGCTCTTGCAGACAAACAAATGTATGACACAAGCTTCAGAAATATTTAGACAAACCTTGCAAAATAATACAAATTCACACCTCATTGCTTTTTGCTTTGGCTTGAGATAATCATATGGACTGGCTACTAGCAGTTCTAATACATCACAGACAGCAATAAGTGTACTGATGGTTAGGATCCAAAGATACATGTCACATGAGAAGGGAATGCATTTTTTTTTTTACATATAATACAGCCACAAGTCAATAGCTGGAATAATAGTGTTCAGAGTAGGTATGCTCACAAATCACAGCCAGTGGATTAAAGTATAAGAAAATTATTTATAGATTACAGTGCATGTTAAGATTAACAATAGTATTGTAATATCAGCTGCAGTACTACCAGTTAAAGAAAAATCTGTTATTGTGCAAAAGGAAATAGTTGATTGCTGGAAAGCATGTATCCATATATCAATCAGTTCAAAAATTTATTAATTGTAGATTTATAGGTCAAAGATAGTTGAGTGGACAGAAATAGAGTTTCTGAATTCCATAAAAAATTGATCCACAAAAGAATATAAGGCACTTTTTTTCAGGCATTGGCTGTTCAAACTTGGTAAAGGAGTGGACACAGAGCAAGTCACTTCTCGCCAGTTGCCGAAAAGTATTGGCTGTGGCAAAAACTTCCAAGGAAAAGAGGCACTAAATACACAAGAGAAGGTAATATGTTTGGTTGTGTTTGAGGATGTTGCTTTCCAGCTCTTTTTGGACGTATTCCTTATTCTTTGAACAGCTCTTTTGCAGGATAATCATATTATTTGTTATTTTATGTTTTAACCATGCTGATTATTTATTACCTTTTATGCCTCGGCCTTTTCCCTATCTGATTATTATGAATGTGTATATTTTTTATTATACATTGTTTGTCATTATCATTGATGGGCTGTTGCTATCATATGCCAAGTCACCGATGCATATTATCATCACCACCCCTCATAACTGTTATCACTATTTTTTCTGTAGTAGATAAGAGTGGGATTGAATCTTTTAGACTGAAAAAGATTTTTAATCCTTCCAATGTCGTAGGCTGCAGACACAGGCAGGTTGAAGTAAATGTAGTATCCTTTGTCTTCATGATTATTGTTATCATTTCTATGTTGTCTCATTAAGTGCTTAAAGTATACAGTTAACCCACTAACGCGGGTATATTTTGAAGCCGAAAATAAAAGTTTCCGGGTGGCTTCAAAATCAGCGCACAGGGCTGGCCCTGACTCTGCCTGTGTGCTGGCTGGGGCCCGCTGTTGAGTCAGAGCGAGATCCCCGATACAGCATCACACCGGCAGCACGCCCGGCAATATCCCCCCCCCTCCAGTGTTATAAAACTTTTGGTTTAAACCCATTTGTGCCACCTCCCTGACATTGTGGATATGACCTCTGTTACTGTCAATCAGATCTGGTATATATATTGCTGCCTACAGCCTTGATCCAATGGGTATACTTGAGACTGACAAAGGTGAGCAGTACCATATTATAGAGAATTATATTCATAGGGTAAATAGGAAGTCACAATACATAGAGGGGTACATATACAAAATGATTTTATAATAACCACCATCATGGTACCCCTATGCAGAAGTTGCCCAGTTTTAAGGCACTGTTGTAACTGTGCAAAAAATGCTTTATTCTATGAGACAAAAAAGTTTCATGTGACCCACTGACCAACTCCAGCAAAGAAAAATATAGAAACTCAGAGATCTACAGTGCATGCAAAGAACATGGGCTTGTGAAGAGCATCTTAAAGCAAGGAATTTTATAATTAAAAGCTGACAAGTGAAAGTAGAAGATCCTGTTGGGAAGTTAGAAGCTGCTGAGTGATCATGGAAATTCAGCATAGTTTTATTAAACTTAAAAATAAAATATGTTGGACCATCACATCCTTGAGTTCTGCACAATGCATCCTCTGGCAGTGAGGCTGAAAAGGTGACAGGGAAACCTTTGGGTAGGTTATCCTCCACCTCAGTACTTCCATGTTGTCATAATTTGTCCTGGCCCTTAGTTGTACTCCATTCTGGTTATCTGCATTGAAAAACTATTGGTTCTCCAAAATGCATGGGTGAGGAATCTCATATGGGAAAGTTAAAAGAAAGAACGAAAAATAGAAAACATCAAGACAAATCATTGACTGCATATGAGTCTGGGTCAGTGACAAGGCTTGATGCCATTTTGAACTTTCCCACATGGTATTTTCTGGCCATGTATTTCGGAGATTGAAGCATGATTTTTAGTTTGTGCTACAGGAGGTCTAGAATCTGAAGTAAGGATCATGATAGCAAAGCTGAAAGAATGATCTCTCTAAGTTGAGGTCCCTTTTATATGGATCCACAAAATTTGATGTATCCCTAATAACAAGGATCCAACTGTGCTTTTGTTAGTTACAAAATGTGTGCTTGTAATTTGACTATCAGTTTGCCAAATGCACATGCTACTCTCTACCTCTGTGGCAGAGAAATGCACATTTACACAGACTCGAGGATTGGAAAACCAGGATGACATGACTCATAGGCAAACCAGCCTGAACCTTCACAATTAAGTACATGGAAATTCCATGTCTTGGTCATGATAATCAAGGCAGAGCTTCCAACAAATTTCATTAGTTTAACCCACTGAATCACAGGGACATATTTGTCTTTCAACTTGCTTTATCTAGACCTTAATAGACTTTTCCTTGCACAGACTCCATATCCTGTTTCTATGTAGTAAGTAACTCAATTCAAGAAAGAAAAATATGTAGCATTTTATTGTGTTTTAAATTTTTTTTTAATATTTTCTGTAATACCTGCACTGCTAATCCCAATAGGATGCTGAGCATGGGAATGGCATCCTCTGTGGAAACTTCCAGTCATGACTCATGGACATTACATTCCACACTTATTTATCAGTGGGATAATGCAAAAGTCTTTTCTAAATGCCAAATGAGTCTAATCACCTTCCAAGAGCTTTGTGCACCCAGGCCTTCACTAGTGATGGCAAGTTTGTGTCACCCGGCCTGAGCTCATCTTTTCCCATGATGGCATGTTTACATCATTTGCCTCTCAAGACAAATTTTTTCATGACATGATGATCACGTCACCTGGATCAAAGGGATTAAGAGTCTCAGAGTAATGCTGAGCCAAAGAAAATAAGGACATGGTATTGTAAACCAATTGGATCTAGATGCTTTGCTGCCATCATTTGGCCCAAAATATGGGCATTAAGCTTTCATGAGCGGACAGTCTGATGGGTCTGCTGCTTGTAGGCTGGGTGGAAACTAACCCTTGTGTGTGTTGACGAGACACTATGCCATTCCTCTGTTATTTTATCTTGTTCGGCTTATGCATTTTTTTTTTTTTTTTTTTTTGCATTTTCCAATGTATATATTTGTCCTTGAATTGCTTATCCTGCTGTTAGT